TCAGTCAGTACCATCGACTGATGCCCAGAAGTGTGAGGTTTGGTTTATTGGCTGTGAGACAGGCTCTCTTTCCATAGGTAAAGCAGGCTGGCCTTGAACTATCAGATCTGTTGTCCCAGCCTCAGGAGTACTGAGATTACAGGCAGGTGTCACCATGACTGATGGTAGCTGTGTTCTATAAAGGCACCTGGGCCACCGAATTAGCCACTTCTGAAGTCCTGCCCTTAGGGAAGGAGAGGGTCAGGTTCCTGACTGACGGACCACATTTTCATCACCCAGTCAATACATAGCCTTGTTGATTGGTGTGTTTCTATTTAAAGACACATTTTTTCCCTTTCCTTTGGCAGTACTGGGAATTGAACTCAGCACCTCTTGATTAAGTGCTCTACTTAACACACACACACACACACACACACACAGCCCCTTTGCTTTTCGTTTGTTGCTCAGATAGAATTGCACAATTTTACCCATCTGGCCTTGGAACATGATCCTCCTATTTCCACTTCCCTTGTGGGCTGGGATTACATGCATGCACTACCAGAACCTTTAAAACATATGGTGCTGATTCACTCACTGGCATTGAGCCCACGGTCTCACACTCGGGGCTATAGTGAAACCCTGAAGGAGCTTACCTAACATCCAGATTCTTCAGCTTGGGGTTTGGGGACCTCGAAGAGCATGTTAGCTCTCTACCCTGCTGATAAGCTATAAAGTTGCCAAATTAAAAAAAAAAGAAAAAAGCCAGGACTACTGACACGTAACCACCATTCAGGAGGGGATAACCAAACCTGACCAAAAGTGAGCCAAAAGGGTAAGATCCTATCTGAAAAATAAACTATAGCAAAAAGAGTTGAGTGTGTGGCTCAAGTTGTAGAGTACCTCAGAGCTTAGAGTTCAAGTCCCAGTATTACAAAAGTGCTCTGGGTCTGAACTGTGATGAATCTCATTTTACACAGGAGAAACTGAGGCACGGGAGCAGTGGGACCCTACCCGATGGTCCACTGATCACTCAGCCTGCAGGAAAGGAAGTTGGGAGAGAGGGTCAGAAGAGGACTTGGGGGATGGGCAGGCACTGGGGACAGGTGGGAAGGCCTGATGCTCGGGGCCCAACTTGATAAAGGGGCGTGTGTGCTTGGGGCCGGCCACACCTGTGTGCCAAGGTCACTCCGGGTGACCCCACGGAGTAACACTGCTAAATGGGGAGGTGCAAAGCCTGCTGGATCATTGGTGAGCCTCTGGGGGAGGACGGCCACCTCGGTCGGCTCCAGAGGCCCAGGTGGCAGCCTCCCTAGCCTGACCTTCAGCCCCCGGCCCCAGCCCATCCCACCCCGTACGGGAGCAGCTCAAGAGCTGCCCAGAGGCGCAGGGGCTCTGGACCTCATGGAGCTCTGGCTCTGGGGCCAACAGCTTGCCTCTCTGTGCCTCGGTTTCCTTGCCAGTCCCTGAGACTCAGGGCTTGTTTTTTGTTTTTTTTTGGGTCCAGTCATGGGGCCTGAACTCTGGGCCTGGGCGCTGTCCCTCAGCTCTTCAGCTCAAGGTTAGCACTCTACCACTTGAGCCACAGCGCCACTTCAGGCATTTTTCTTTTTGCTTATGTGGTGCTGGGGAGTCAAACCCAGGGCCTCTGGCATGCAAGGCAAGTGCTCTACCACTGAGCCACCTTCCCAGCCCCGTCAGGGCTTGTTAAAGAACTTCTGCAGCCCGACGTTGGTGGCTCACGCCTGTCATCTTAGCTACACAGGAGGCTGAGATCTGAGGATCACAGTTCGAAGCCAGCCCACACAGGAAAGTCTGTGAGACTCTGATCTCCAATAAACCACATGAAAACTGGAAGTGGTGCTGTGGTTCAAGTGGTAGGGTGCTCGCCTTGAACTGAAGAGCTGAAGAACAGCACCCAGGCCCAGAGTTCAAGCCCCACGATCAACTAACTAAATAAATAAATATCAGTAATGACCAGGCACCAGGGGCTCACACCTGTAATTCAGCCTACCCAGTAGGCTGAGATCTGAGGGTCATGGTTTGAAGCCAGTCCAGGGAGGAAAGCCCTGGAGACTTTTATCTCGGATTGACTTCAAATCTTGATTCTCTTAGCCCCAGCCTCTTAGTAGCAAGGTTTACAGGGGTGAGCCACAGCATCTGGCTCTGGCTAGGATATCCCAAAGCAGACACCAGTGTGTCATTTGCCTTAACATAGTCTGTGTTAACTAGGTGCTGGTGGCTCATGCTACTCACGAGGCTGAGATCTGAGGATTGAGGTTTGAAGCCAACCAGGACAAGAAAGCCCGTGAGAATTCTATCACCAATTAAATTGGCAAAAAGCTGAAAGTGGAGATATGGCTCAACTGATAGAAAGCTAGCCTTGATCAAAATAGCTACCTGGGAGTGTAAGACCCTGAGTTTGACCCCCACAACTGGTGTGCATGCGTATACATGTACATGTACACACACACACACACACACACACACACAAATTGTGTGTGTCCCCCCAAGGAAACGAGGCCCCCATGAATGTGGCTGGTGGTGGCACTGTTCGGTAATGGCTCCGACATCGTGTCCTGTCTAGATTGTTTGGTAGTGGCTCTGTGCCCATCGGTGCTGCATTCTGTGTTTCTACATATTTCCAGCTTTTCAAAAACTGTGCAGGGCTGGGAAGGTGGCTCAGTGGTAGAGTGCTTGGCTTGCACGCATGAGGTTCTGGGTTCGATTCCTCAGCACCACTTAAGCAGAAAAAGGCGGAAGTGGTGCTGTGGCTCAAGTGGTAGAGTGCTGGCCTTGAGCTGAAGAGCTGAGGGACAGTGCCCAGGCCCAGAGTTCAGGCCCCACAATGGACAAAAAAAAAAAAAAACTTATCCCAAAAACTGTGCAGGGAAATTCTCCCCACATGGCCTTCACTGTCACAGCTCCTGGGGGGGTGATGCGGCATCCAGTGGAGCCTTCCAGAGCTTTCCAGCACCGGCCATGGGTTATTAATAGCAGGCTGTAGTAGTAGTGGAAACTCGAGGCCGTGTTTGCGTGAGTCACGGCCCTGGCTCAGCCCACTCTGACATGGGCTGAGGTGGCCTGCCTCTCTGAGCCTCAGTTTCCTGCTCTGCATACTGGGAATACATCTGGACCCTTTGGGGGACTAGGAGTGTGGCACCACCCCCTGTACCGCGTCAGGGTCAGGCAGGGTTGGAGAACATGGAAATCTCCTCCAGGGAGAGGCACCCAGCTCCACAGCTCCCGGCTCTGGGCACAAAGGGAAGAGTGGAGCCCTGGGTCTGAGGGAGGAGGCCAGGGTATGGACCACTGAATCTAAGGGAGGAGATGGAGTCTGGACCCCTGGGTCTGAAGGAGGAAGCTAGAGTCGGACTGCTGGTTCTGAGGGTGGAGGCTGGGCCTGGACCCCTGGGTCTGAGGGTAGAGGCTGGAATCTGGACTGCTGGTTCTGAGGATGGAGGCTGGACCTGGACCCCTGGGGTCTGAGGGAGGAAGCTGGGGCCTAGACCCCTAGATCTAAAGGAGAAGCCTGCCTTGTCCACTGGATCTGAGGGAGAAGGCTGGATTTTGGACTTCTGGGTCTGAGGGAGGAAGATGAGGTGTGGACCCCTGGTTCTGAGGGAAGAGGTTGGGTCTGGACCCCTGTGTCTGAGGGTGGAGGCTGGGGCCTGGACCCCTG